AGTTTTTTTTTTCAATATAGGTTTATGATAATGAATACTAATATAAAACTCTTCTTTAAAATAAATAAAATTATTATGAATAAGGAATAAAAAGTAAATAAATATTTTATTTGTAGAAAAAAATAATTTAAATAATATAGATAAATTACTTAATATGAAAGTATTTGGCTATTGGATTATGAATGCATTTTGGTAATCAATCATAATAACATTTTTTAGGTAAATTAATACTAAATATACATTTATATTATAAAAAAATTAAATTCAAATAAATAAATTAAGCTATTACACATTAGAATCTAACTTTATTAATTCAAATGGCTTTACTTTGAACTATTGGACTGATGGTGCTTTGGTATTGACAATAGCAATATTTATTGCTAATTTAAAAGTTTTAATTATATCATTTTAATATAATTTGGCTTATTTATTATTTATCATTATATCTATATTATATTATATAATGATGACTAAAGTCATTCCTTTTATGTTTAGATAATCAGATACTTATTCAGTTTTTAATGAGTATAAAAAAAAAAATTATTTTTTATAAATATTTATATTTACATTTAAAGTATACTTGATTGTCCTAATTTTTATTTTGGAATTATACTTTCAATTGGTAGTACTTCCTTTTTAGATTATGGAATAGAATTATGGAATCGTAATGTTATAAAAATATATATATTATTTTTTTTTTATTTTTTCTCAAAAAATAAAATAAAATATAATGCTATTCATTATTTAGGACTGTCATTTTTTATATTTTTTTTATAAAATATAAAAAAATTATAGAAAATAAAAAAGCAAAAAAAAAATTATTTATATATATATATATATATATATATATAAATATATTTATAATTATTTTTTTTTATTTATATAATAAAAAGGTTGGAATTAAGATTTATAATATAGAAATAATTAAAAATAAAAAATATTATAAGAATATTATGATTGATAGAAATTTATTTATAATATATATATCCTGTTTTTAATATTTTATCCTAATATTTTTTAATATCATAACTTGTTTGTTTTCAATAAAAATTAAAAAAAAAGATATTTAGCATTATATTTATAAATTAAATATGTTAATTTATTAAAGTAAATTATATTAATAAAAAATTGGAATATGTTAAATTATTAGTATTAATTATAATATCTAGATTAAAAATTCATAAAAATTAAAATATTATACCTAAATTTAAAATTTATAGATATTACAAACGCATTAAAATTTATTAAATAAATAAACCTGAATAAAAAATAATTTTTTTAATATAAATATTTATAAAAAATAAAATAATGATACTTAGTACTCTATATTAAAATTGTATAATGCTAATAAATCTATAATTAAAATAATCAATAATAATATTATTTTACTAATTAATTTTTTCAGTCAAGTTAGAATAAATAATTATGACTACTTTTGAAAAAATACATAAAATTTTTAATCTTTATATTTAAAATTAGAACATATGAAAATATATACGTATAAATGTAAATTAAAATAATAAATACAAAATTTAATTTTTGCTAGCTATAAATAATATATAAAAAACCTTGTAAAATAATATGCAATAAAAGTATTTTTAAATTAAATTTAAATTCATATAATAAAAATTAAATTCGAAAAAAAATAAAAAAAATATCAATATATATAAATATATATTTTTAAAATTATAATTATATATCAATTATAACTAAAATTTTTAACTTTAATTTTGCTTTTATTTTATTATTTATATTACTAAATCAATTCGTTATATTAGAAATCAATTTATTTATTAAATTAGTCTATTTTTTTATCTTCTTCTAATAAAATATTAGGCAATAAGCTTTTTGTATAATTTTAATTTTAAACGCCCAACAAATCTTTAATTTAAATCGCTTCTTTATTCATTTCATTTAATTTTTTTATTATTTATGTATTATCTTAATTTAGAGATTATTTTTAAATTTGTTCTAATTTTTTTCCTTTTTCTTATATAAACTTTTCAGACTTATCAATTTATTTAAAACTATCAATAAGTTATTTTTAATGAATTTACTTTTAATATAAATTTTTAACAATTTGATTTTTTTAATTAATATATTAAGAGATAAAATCATATGTTTTCTAGTTTTATTATTTACTATCAGAATTCAAATTATTATATTTATTATCAGTTTCTTTTCTAAAAATCTGATATTTTTAAAGAATACCTTCTATTTCTTCTATTTTTTAGTTACATTCTTAATCACATTAATTAATAATTTTCAAATTTTCCTATTAATACTGAACATGTGGTGATTTTAAATTATTTAATAATTGGTTTTTGATATAATTTTAATTTGTAATTATTTAATCTAAATCGTGATTTACATTCTAATTATATTATTATATTATAAAAATAATAAATTATATATTTTCAATTATATCTTCGTTTTTTTTTTTCTAAATTATCAAAAACATATAAAATAAACTGACATTTTAATGAAATTATTTATTATTATATTCTTTTAATAAAACATTTATTTCCAAACATAATAAAATCAACTAACAAAATTATAAAATTCCTTCTTTATTTTAAGAAAACTCCTTACTTTTTATTTTCTCGCAAAATTATTTTGCTTTTAAATTCTTTTAGTTCTATATTTCAGATACTATTTTTCCGAAATTCCAATATTTTACTTATTCCATAAAATATATAGCATTAAATTATTAAATTTTTAATTTTATAATAGACTATATTTTAAAAAACCATTCTTAATATTAAATATAATTATCTTCAATTAGATTATTATTTTATGAACATAATTTAGATAATTCTTTTATTTTTCTAAATTATCTTCTAATAATATGTTAGTATTATTTACTAATTATTCAAGTTCTCTAAAATATTATATGTATTGGTTATTTTCGTAAATATTATCTTCTTAATAAGCTTAATTTTCATATATTTTTTATAAATTTACTTCTATAATAGTATTATTATCATTAATTAAATTTGATTCTTCAAGAACTTTTTATGAAATTTAACAAGAATTTTAGAGAATTTACTCAATATTATAAAATAATGTATTAGATTTTTCTAATAAATTATAAAATAAATATATAATAATAAATATAATTATAAATATAAATATATAAAATATATATATATATATATATATATATATATATATTCATATATATATTATAATTATGTATAAAATACCTTAAAATTATTATTAATTATAAATTAAAAATATTTAATTAATTTCTTATTCAATATCAAAATTATTAACTGTAAAATAGTTTTATAAAATTGGATGTGTTTAAAAATTTTAAATTTAATTTATCTAATTATTTATATAAGTTATTTATTAAGGAATCTCTTATTATTAATCTTAAATTTTTTCATATTATTGAAAGTTTTCTTATTTATAATAAATTTATTCATTTTAATCTTAAATATTTAAATAATTTTAATTATTTCCTACTTCCTCATTTACTTAAACCATATCCTATTCTTCTAAACTAAATAGTCTATTATTTAAATAAATTTATGTATTTCTTCCGTTTTAAGTATTTTTTTAATATGATTAAGTGTTATATCCTTATAATTAATTTAACAATATTTTTTTTTAATTTTCGCCAAATATTTTTCTATAACTTTTCCTGCTTTCAGAGCTTAGCACTTAGTTTTATTTCTATTAAGTGTTGGATTGAAAATTTGGCAAACTATTATAATTTTATTGCATTTTATTTGGAAATGTATTAATAATTTAATTTTATTAATTATAAATAGTTTTAAATGGCTAGTTTTATTAAGTGTAAAAATTGTTTTAATAAGTATATAAAGGTTATAATATTTTTTCAGAATTATTATTAGGTATTTGAATATTTTTAGCAATATTTGTCGGAATTTAAAAATTATTTTTTTGGGGTATAAAATTATCAATAGGTCTATAAGATTGCCTTTAAATAATATTATTATCGTTTGATTCCTAAAATTATCTTTTATTATAATTATTTAAAGTAAATGGAAAATCGTGCTAAATATTTTTAAAAAAATGAATTCCAGATGTATCATCAGGCAATAGAATTGAAGGATTTATACCGTTATCATAAATAGTCAAGTCTGAAATTTGTGTTTCAATATTATTATTTTTCATTATTTATATTTATTATTTTAAAATATTTATTTATAATAAATTAATCATTTAAATTTAAAAAAAATTAATATTTATAATAAATAAAAAAAACTTTTTTAACAAAATAAAATAAAAAAGTATAGATATATATATATATAAATATATATATATATATATATATATTATATATATATATATAAATTTTTTATTTTTTTTTTAAATACTTTAATTTTAAAATTTTAAGATATAAATATTTAAATTTATACATTTTAAATTTATTTTATTTAAAATATTTTATTTAATATGATTAATGTCAACAAATATTAATAAAAATGTTTAATAAATATTTTTTTTTCTTAATTATATAATAAATATTCAAATAAATTCTATAATTTAGAAATATTCTTCATTAACTATTAAAATAAATCTATCAATCCCAATAAAATTAATAACTCCTTTCTTTTCTTATAAAAAGCACTCTATATTTCCTAATTCTAAATCCAATTTATCCACACTTAGATTCTAATAAAGTATTATTGCATATTTATTATTTATTTTTTAAATTTTTTTAATTTATTTCTTCTAATTAAGCGACATTTCCCACATAGTATCAAAAGTATCAACCTCATATAATACCGCATTATTTAATTATCTAATAAGAACACATAATTATCAATATACTACACAAAAGTGAACACATCAGAGCATTCATTGCAACAAATTTACTCATTTTTTTAAATATCCCATATTTCTAGTTCATTTTACGCATTAATAAACGCTATTCTATTCTAATTATCAATACAAAATACTTTACACATAGAATCTAATCCAAAATCAATTCTCCATATTTTTTTTAGATTAAAATCATATATAGATATTCCCGAATTTCCCTTAAAAATCTATAAATCTCCTCTAGATTCATCATCATAGTCATTATTTGTGAAATATTTTATATTAAAAGGTATTAAAATTCTCTAAAAGGGGTAAAATTTAGCATTTTCTCCATGAAAAATGAACTCTTTAGTACTTTCATAGTCTTTTTTTCCATCCAAGTATTTAAAAACATCTATTTCTACGAAAATATTCTCCGTAGTCTTTTTATTTTTCATTAAATAATATAATTTCCCTTTATTATCACTATTAATAGAATCTTAATCTAACTCCAAATTACTACAGTCGGCAATTATACTCTTCAAACATTCATTTTTTTGGATATCAAATAATTAAATTTCAGTTGTAAAAACGACTTCATCTTCATTAAAAAGACCTTTTATACCCAAAAGACCTATTATTTTATTCTCATAAATATTAACTGCTGACCCTTAGTAATTATATAAATCTGTATTATATGATTTTAAAGACACTTATTGCCCGATTTTACCAAAATCAATATTAAAAATTATCAATTATCTACTTTCAGAGTCTACTAGTCCTACTTATTATTGATTTTCTAAACAAAAAATTCTGTCTGTTCTTTTTAGGTTTTAAAAACTGTTATTATTATTGTTTTTAAATATATCTAAATTAGATAAATGTTTCCCATTTTTTAAACTCCAAATATGTAAAAATCCTCTCTTTCCTCCTCCACCTAAAATCCATTAATTATTATTAATTAAATGAATATGATTATATATATCTTCACCCGAATCTTACAAAATAGACCATATTCCACCTTTTGAATCGTAAATTTATATACATTAATTCTTCCCTAAAGCAAAATATAAGTTAGAAATAGGCTATATAAAAAAAACATGACCTTTATTTTTTATGTTAAAAACTTTTTCGCTATTTCTATTAATTATATATACATCTATATTATATAAATCTTTCAAAATAAAATTTTCTCCATCAAAAAAAGATTCAATTTATTAAAATGAATAACCGTTAGTTTTTATTGTTTTAATTATTTTATCTTCTATGTGGTTAATTATAATTATTTCACCATTTCGCATTAATATAATTAATTCTTAATCTTTTTCTTACGGACAACAAATAAATGATATATCATTTATTTATGAAATAATTTCTAATATTAATAATATATATAAAAATAAATATATATATATATATATGTATTATATATATATATATATATATATTATATATTTATATTTATATTTTTATATTAATTTATAATTATATAAATAATTTACTGCTATATAACAATTTTTCTTCATCGAAATCATATATTTTATATGAATCTTTTGTGTATAATATTACTCTATTTCCTTATCCTCCACCTATTTATTTTAAGTTATAATTACTATTATATGATGGAGGAATGTCTAATATCAATTTTATGTTTTTTAATTAATTTGTTTCCCATATACCTAATTAATTTGTTCCTGCAAAATCACATATATTTCCTGCTTTTGTTGTTGTTGTATGTGTTAATCTTGGTTATACATAATATCCTATTATATTTTTATTTTTAATTATTCCATTTTTTTTTAATTAAATCTTATTTTGAGTTTATTTTTTTTATGTTTAAAAGTTTATTTATTAATATTGTATTTTTTATTTTAAAATATTTTTTTTTTTATTTATTTTTTATAATTATTTAATAATTAACATATAAAATTTTAAAAATATATCTGATTTTTTTTAATGTTTTGATACAAATATTTTTTTGCTTATATTATAATTTTTGAAATTTTTTTTTAAATTTAAACATTATATTATTAAATTTTTTATGTATAAAACAATTCAATTTTTTTTTTAAAAAAAAAAATATTAATCAAAATAGAAATTAATGATAATTAAAAAAATTAAATAAAAAAGTATTAAAAAATGGTTAATATTTTTATAATAATTAAGTTTATTTTATATTTTTAAATCCTATATATAACTATTATTATTGCATATAATATTTACTATTAACTAAATAATTAATTTAATAAAATATATATTACAAATTATTAAGATTATTTGATTTGAACTAATACAAAATCAATTACGAATAATTTATATTGAAATAATATTATAGCAATTTATTTCTTATATAAAAGTTTATATTAATAAATTATTTTTAAATATTAAGTAAATATTCAATTTAACTAATATAAAGAATAAATATATTATAAATTATATTTTTATGTTTATTTTAGTGAGAAATCAGATAATTTTAAATATTCTTTATTTAGATTATATATTATTAATAAATAAACTATTATTTATCATATAATAACACTTAGTCATTTTAAATGTGACTTAAATTTAATTATATTAAAATAAAATATTAAATATAAAATATATTTAATGTTTTTAATAGATGTAGACTTTATTGTTTCTTTTATAGATTGTATATTTTAATATATATTTTTATAAACATAATATTTATGAATTAGCTTTCTAATTTTTATTTTTCATTTTTTTTAAATAACATTTATTTATAAAAATAAAATATAAAAATTATCTTAAAATAATTAATAATTGTTTTATTTTATGTTGCTTGAAATCTTTTTTTTAAAGATTATAATTAAAAATCTATATAATTTTTTTATTATTATATATGTTATTATTATTTCTATATTATTACTATTATTTTTTTATTTGTTTTCTTAGTAGTTAAATTATTTTTATTTTTTTCTTAGTATTTAAATTATTTTTATTATTTATTTATTTGTTTTTTTTAATATTTAAAGAATATTTTTTCTTTTTCTAATTTAAAGCATAAATCGACTTTAAATTTTTTATTATTGAAATTACAATAATTAATTTTTTTTTAATTATTTCTCAATTTAAGTTCTTTTTATATTTTATTAAATGATTTCATAATAAATTTTTATTATTTTTATTAAAGAAATTATTAAATTTTGAATTTTTTTCTAAATTATTGATTTGAATATCCCTTATATTGATTAATAAAATGTACTTCATTTACTTATTTTGTTTTATTTATAATTTTATTTTATTATATTATATTTTAATATATTAAAAAATTAATTTATAAATTTAATAACTTATATAAATAAGCTAAAATATGAATTATAATATTATATAATAAATTAAACCTATCTTTTACAAAAAATATTTTTAGTTTATATTAAAAAACACAAATGTTATATTCATTTTTTTATTTGAAAAATAAATATATAGAACATAGTATTTTTATTTTCCAAAATAAAAATATATTTTCATTATTTATATATAGAATAACTTAAAATCTTCTTATCTTATAATTTTTTTATTAGAAAATAATCTATTTTAATTAATACAATAGTAATAATTAAATGTAATATTTGATTTATTAATTCTTTATATTTCAACATAAAAATAATAAATTTAATTTATTGACAAATTAAAATAAAATGAAAATATAATGAATTAAAAAAAATAAAAAAATTTAAAATAATAAAATTATATAAAAAAAAAAAAAAAAATTCCTTTTTGGAAATATATAAAAAAATATTAAATAAAAATTAATTATAATATTTGTTAAATATAATATATTTCATTGAATTTTTTAATTTTATATATAAAAAATTATTATTAAAATACAATTATTTTTCATAAATATTAATTATTATATCTTTATTTTAAATAAATAATAATTCATAAATCTTTATTTTTAATAAATCTATTTCCTTCTGAATTCGAAGTACTAATTTTGATTGTATTTCTAGCATATTTTGGATCATAAACAACTTTTCCATTAAATTAATCATTATCATCCTTTTTTATGTTTAAAAAAAAAAAGTAAATAAATAAATTTATAATTAAAACATTTTTTTAAATTTAAATATAAAATATATTTAAGAATTTCACATACTTATTGTGGTATATTTTTACTTTATATTTGTTCATAACATTAACCAATAGATGAATTTATTATTTCTTCCATTTTTTTATTTTTAATTTTCTAATTAATTTAATTAATTATTTTAAAAAATATATTATAATATTTATAAAAATTTAATTCATTAAAAATATATTATTTAATATTATTAAATAGATAAAAATCCAAAAAAATTAATAAATGTTTTATTAATAAATAACAAATTTAGATATTTATTCTATTAAATCATTAAGATTTTCAAAAAAATAGATATAAATATATTTATTTTATTTTTAAAACTAAACCTTTAAATAAATAAAAATATTTTTTCCTTAAAAAGAAAATAATTACTAATAATACCTAAAAATAAAAAAAACAAAAAAAAAACAAAAAAAAAATACAAAATAAAATAAAATCTAAAAAAATATATATATATAAAAAAAAAAGATTCAAATAATAATAATAAAAAAAAAATGCAACAAATATTTTTCCACTAATAAACCACATAACTTCATAAAATCTTAAAATACACCCAAGTAGGAGTCTTCCGTAAAAGATGGTATAATTCCAATGAATTATTTCCCAAAAGAGCCTACAATTATATCCATGATCTTCCTTAAGAAAACCAAACAAAGACCAAACACCTTCGTTTTGTTTACGAATCTCCAATGAAGGCTACTGATAAAAGGAAGTTTAAAACAGCTGAATTTCGTAAATATTAAGAAGACTTAGAAAACTTAGCAAAGCATGCAATGGTAGGAAAAACAATAAAAGAGATTAAAATAGAAGAAAAAATCGAACCTGACCCTATTTATGGTTTTCAAGAAAGACCATAAAAAACATTAAGCCGTCCTTTAGGAAAAGAGCTTTTTTTTTATTTCCGAAATGAAAAATATATGGAAAATTCTAACAGAAAAATAGCTTATTTAACACAATTTTAACCCAATTCAAATAAAGTTAATGAAATAAAGCCTTTTATTGACTAAATATATTAAATATCTAAAACATAAATTCAAGAATAAGTTTGCGGTAATCAATAAATAATCATTGAAGATGATTTTTATGCCAAAAATCAAGAAATAAAGGCATAATTCGACCTAATAGGTTCCAAAATACCTGATTTACACCAAAAATAAATACCTGATTTAGCCCTAACCCTTTCATTTACCCTAAGATATAACAAAGATGTATTTGGAATCTGGTAAAAAATAGAAGAAAGGATAAAAGATTCCCTAAACCACTACTCAACCCTCGACCTAGCCAAAATCCATTACGCCTCATGCTCAATATATCCTAAATCACTCTCACATACAACCCAAAAGGCAATCATAGACATTGTATTTAACGAATTAGACTAAGTAAAGACTTTGGAGGAACTGACTCATATTCTATTTGCTTTCCGAAACATAAATTCGCATAAATATTACATAAAATTACTAGATGAAATTACTAAAAGACCACTATAAAATGTCTAATAAGCTATCCATTTACTACACGCTTATGCCCATTCTAGATTCCCGGTAAATAAAAGAAAATAATATAGAGAAAAAGACCAAGATAAGAAGGAAAATGAAAAAATATTAAACTATTTAGCTGATATATTAGCTTCAAATGCATCTAGTATTAAAAATGGTGATGATATAGTAAGAGTACTTGTTTCTTTGAATAATTTATAAACCGAAGTCTTCAAAGATGTCCTTTTTCATCTTGAAAGAAATACTTTAGAGTAAATTTAGACATTTGATGGATTTCAAATAGCTTCTATAATGTATGGATTTGCTAAATCAATTAATAATTATGGGTTTGGTAGCGAAAAATTATATTAGGAATTAATAAAGAAATGTAAGGCATTTTGGAATGAATTTACTCATGTTTAAAAAAGTCACGCTTTCTTCGCTATGACTTCATAAGATATAAATGATAATGATTTTAGATAAAATTTTATATAACCTTGGCTAAATAATTATTTAGAAACAGATTTTAATTATTCAGTTTTACATTATGTAGCTTTTTCATTAATATATGAATAAAATAAAGGTATTTATATAATATATATATAAATATGTATAAATAAATAAAATATAATAAATAATGAATTATATATTTTTAAATATTCATAAAAATTTAAATATATATATATATATATATATATATATATATATAATTATATATATTTATTTTTTCATTTGTATATATAGATTAAGATATTTGGAAAAAATTTGTTAAAAATATACATTAATAATAATTTCACGTTCCTACAGTAAATTACTTTCCATTAAAATGGGCAAAAATTTACATCTAGAAATTGTTTCCTAATTGGAATTTAGAATAATATAAATTAGCTTGCATGAATGCCGAATTAACATGGAGTACATACCGTTAATTATTATCAATTATTTAAAATAATAAAGAATATTTAAACATTAGTTAATTATTATAAACAAAATCAGAAATATACATTAAAACTCTAGAACCTTTTGAAAATCTGTTTTTAATTGAATAAATTATAGTCCCAGAAAAGGTAGTTATTTTAGTTTAAGGAGAAAAATAATCATTAAAAAATGGTAAGGCTACACCTGCACATAGAGCTAAAATTGCTTTATTAGAAATGCATAAGTATGCAGTTTTTAATATTGTTTTTAAGGATTTCGAAAAGATTTAAACTGATTCAAAATTGAAGTTTTTGGAAGAAACTATTAAAAAATTAGTCAGTAAATAAAAAAAATACATTGAAGAAGTTGAAGAATAAGAATAATGGCTTTAGTTTATGGACAAAAAATAAAAATAAATAATAAATGCAGTATAAATTGAAAAAGTTTATAAAGGAGGAAAAGTTAATATTGATACATTCGATGTACCTTTTGATTGGAGTAAATTATAGGGAGAATTTAAAAAAAGATAAATGTAAGTTGAAGAAAATAGAAAATTGTATGGAGTTACAGAAGAAGATGATTTTGAATAGTAATCGATAGAAGAATAAAAGAATTAAGAAAATTAATCTAAAAAATAATATATTTCGAAAGAAAAAAAAAAAGTAAATAAAAAGAAAAATAAGATAAAGAAATATGATAGAAATTTTTTGTAATTAAATTTTTTATTATATTTTAAATTTAATATTAAAAATTATAGTTATCAAAGTTATAAAGAAAAAATATATAAATAAAATTTATTTTATTTTTAAAAAAAATTAAAATTATATTGCATAATATATTTATAGATTTTAAATAATAATAAAAATTAATAGAAAATATAAAACAAAAGATATAATAAATATGAAGACAAAAATAAAATTTAATATAATATAAAATTATATAAAATATAGATTAATAAATAATAAATGAATTATTTTTATTTATATATTATCAAAAAAAAAAAAAAAAAAATTGTAATAAATTAAAAATTAAATTTTTTTAAAAAAATAAAAATAAATAAAATATTGAATAAAAATAAATAAATTATATTAAATATATATATTAATATTAATTTATTTATATAAATATATATATATATTAAATATATATTTATATATATTTTTTAAAAATATATATTTTATATTATAATTCTTTTAATTATATATATTCTAATTCAATTATAAAGATAATATCCTCCTATAATTACTATTATACCTATAATATAAAAATAATGAATATGTCCTTAATTTTTTATATGTTTAGGATTAACTCCTTTTATCTTTCCTACAATGAATTCTTTTCTTAATTCTTTAACACTTTCCGGATGTTTTGCTTCTTAAAATTATTAGCTTGCATCTTTTCCACTGTTTGTTATTAAAATTTTTGATCCTCCAGGATGTTAATTCTAATATTTAGTTAAATCATAAACATATTCATCTATAACCATCCAAAGACTATCTTATTTATTATGTTTTTCTAATTCATCCCATGTTATATCATTTTAAAGTACTTCTTATTTTTTTATCCATTCTTAATATTCAGTCGGCTATTCCCCTTATTCTATCATTCCAACTTTACGTTAATCTCTTATAGATATTGCATAATCAGTATGACCTATTGATTTGAATCTTTATGTTGCGTCCTTTCCTCCATATTTAAGTAATATGTCATCTCCACCAGGATGTTCAGCTAAATATGTAGTAACATTATATACTATACCATCTATTAATATCCAGCAATCTGTGTTTGTTGAATGTTTTTATAGTTCAGTCCATTTAATTGTTCTATTATTATCTTTAAACATTTTTTTTTTATAAATAAGAAATAAATAATTATAATTTTTTATAAATTTTTTTTATTTTTTTTTTTAAAAAATATATAAAAAAATTATTCAATATTTTAATATATAAAATATTTTATTATTTTTACCATAATAAAACTTTTTATTCCTTTAAATAATTAAAAAATTATTTATATAAAAAATAATAAAAATATATTTGAATTATATAAATAAAATTATACAAAAATTATTATACTTTTAAAAAAAAAATATTGAATAAATTTTAAAATTGTAATTTATATTAATTACAATAATAAGAAAATTAAATTACAGATTTAATTATAAAAATAAAATAAAAATATAAATTAAATAATATTGATTTATTTATAAAAAAAAAACTATAAACTGAATATTAATAAATAATTTGAATTTTTTAGTCAAAATTATAATATATAGATTTAAATTTTAAAGTATTTTTATATAATGTTAAAATTAATATAAATATATATTAAAATAATTAATAAATAAAAAATAAAATTAATAAAAAAAATAATAATAATAAAATAAAAAATATTTATATATATATATATATATATATATAAAACTTTAATTGTATATTATTATAAGAAATTAATTTTTTTTGAAATAAAAGATTTTGATACATGCTCGTATGAGAAAATATAAGAAACTATTTTTGTCTTTTACTACACTTATTTACATATAATGAATTATCAATTTTGATAACATTATAATTTTTTATTAAATATTTAAACAAAATGTAATATTCTTTTTAAATAAACTATTTTAGAAATAAAAAATTTGTATATTTTTTTTGAATAATTATTGTTTTATTTTTATTTTATTTTAAAATAATATTATAATTTATCAGCATTATAAGTATAGGAATATATATATAATTTTACAAAAAAATATCAAAATATTGATTAATTTTATATTTTTTTTATAAAATTAAAAATAAAATATAATATAAATAGGATATTAAAAAAAAAATATTTTTTTAATTTTTTAAATATAAAATACATTTTTTTTTTTATTATTATTATTATTATTATTATTATTATTATTATTAATTATTATTATTATTATTTTAATAAGATTAAATTATTATAATTATAATTT